CGGCCCCCCCGGCCCCCCCAGCCGTCGCCCCGGCCCCCGCTCGGCCCCCCGCCCCGCTTCCTAGCCCGCACGCTCGGAAACTCGCTCTCCCCCTCTCACCCTGATAAGTAGACACATCACGTGTTGCTCCTGCGAGTCTCCTGGGGACGTGTTACTGAGCGGCCGCGGCGGCGGCGGCGGCCCAGGCTGGGGGTGGGGGGGAGAGGGACCGCGGTACCCTCCTGTCCCCTAGGCCGCCCCCGCCCCGATTTTAGCGGGAGGGCCCCAGCCGCCCTAGCGGAAGGGTCTCTGTGCCCGCCACCGATCGCGATCTCGATCGGCCCGGCGCTCGCCGGCCGGCCACCTTCTTGGGCCACCGCGCCCCTTCCCCTCCAGCCCCTCGCTGCGGGAGCCTCCCCGCCCCTGGCTTTCCATCACTTCACTCCACGGTTTGTTTCACTGTTTTAATGACGGAGGGGGAGAGGGGCGCCTCGGAGGGCAGCGCTAGGGTTGGGACCCCAGGGCTGGCGCCGCCCCCTCGGTCCCCGAGGCATCTGGGCGGGGCGCCCCCCCCGCGCCGGCCGCTCGGCACGCGGTCCTCGCACTGTATCCAGGTGGGGCGAGGAGATGATGGGGCCGGAGATTAAAGAGCCGGCGCTCCACCCCGCCCCCCACTCCCAGCCGTTTCTCGCCCCAGGCCGTCTTCCTCCGTCCTGGGCTACCGCCCCGAGCGAGCGATCTGTCCAGCAAACTCCACGCCGCCGGACTTTAGTCCCCCCCTGCATTTGCGCGCACCCCGCACACGGTGCTCCAGCTGGGGGCCGCCAGCTCGCGAGGGCCGAGGGCGACGGAGGCGCAGCTGATGCTGTGTCATCCGCGTCGCCCTCGGAGGCATCAGGGAAGCCACACGCAATATCTCTTTCTCTCAGAGAGCTCCTGTTTCAACTCTGAAAAGCAGGGGCCTCCTCCGCGCCGCTCTCCATCTCCAGGGCTCCAGCCACAGCGCTGCGCCCCGGCTGCCTTGGCCCAAGTTATCACCGAGCCCAGAGAAACCAGGCCTCAACTGAGCTTCCTCCATGAGAGCAGCTGACACGTTTGCAGCGGGCACTACTTTTCCTACTGAGGTTCTGCAAGGGGCCTGTTCTGGGACTTGGCAAAACATCTTTGGAAAGATAAGGCTGATTGTGGTCGCTGTAAATAAACACGCCCCCCATCATAAAGACTACTGGAGAATTATGCATTGGAGACACGTTAGGCCCAAGATGATCTGTACAGAAAGCTGGTCACTGTTTACTCTGAGCTTTGACCCCGGCTTGTCCCAGAACCGGGCTTGAACACCATACGACCTTGCAAGACCGATCTGACCGCAGGCCTTCCCTTTGAGGCCTTCAGGCTGAACTCTAATTTCCAGGGCTGCAGACAGGGGCGTCTGTCTGGGGATGGACTAAATGGGTCCTGGCTAAGATGGAACTTTCTAGAACCAAAGAAAAAAACCAGTTGAACCATTCCCTCTGCCTTGAGATAAATCAGCTACCCCATTGCCCAAAAGGGAACCGATTCAGCTGGCTGTTTCCCTGACTTCCAGTCATCAAAATGAAGTTTTCAGAACCTGTTCTCTTTCCCAGGGTCTACTGTTTACTGAGGAAAACAGCACAGAAATGTTAGCAGTTGGGTTTCTCTAAGCCTCCCTGGACTCTCAGCTCCCTGCCCTCAGATGCTTCTTATAAAAGCGGGCCTGGACCAGGAGGAAGCGGGCAGGTCTCAGAGCACGACGGGTCAGTGTGGATACTGCTGTCTGGTGCTTCCAGCTGTACTGTGCTCCAATGACAGGGCAGAGGGGAACCCCTGTGGCTAGTTTTTTTACTTGCCCTGCCTCTGATTCAGGAGACTTTCCTGATAGGTTTTGAGTAGGAAGAACATCCAAGGTGGAATTCTACTTGTAATTTAGCTTATTCAGTAAAAGACACATCTCCAAAGGTGTAGGGATTTTCATGACAGATCATCATCTCTATAATCCCGTCTAGATAATTCTGGCAACCAACAGGCCCAGCTGTTGTGACACCAGGGGAAGCCTCACCACTTGCGAGGCTGAACACAGCATGGGAGGTACAGGTTCGGTTCCTGGGCCACCCTGAATCTACTGTCATGGTCGCATGCCTATAATCCTAGCTAACTGCGAGGCTGGGCCAGAGGGCAACAGTGGTGAGTCCTCTTCTCCTTCCCAGGTTCTCTCTCTCTCAATAAGACGTTAGGAAGGGAGAGAGGGAGGGAGGAAGGAGGAAAAGTTTTATTTAAAGTCACTTTAAAAAAAAATTATTTAACTTTATTTATTTATTTATTTTAATTTGACCAGAGAGGATCAGCGTGAGCAGGGAGATGAAGCAAGCTGCCAGATCCAGGACTCGAACCACTGTCAGCCATAGGGGATTCTAACATCCCTAACCAACATGACACCTGTCAGCCTCACTAAAGTCACTTTTAAAAGGTGAATTCTGGTGATACTCGACCCTGTTTTCCTCATTTTCATTTCTAGCTAATTAATAAACTCGGAAGTCAAATCACCTGTCCAAAGGTTTGCTCCTATTTCATCTGAATGTGACTTAGTCAATAAAATTTTTTTTGGTTTGGTTTGCTTTCTTTTTTTTAGATTTTTGGCCATAGAGTGTGTGCACTCGTGCGCGCAAGAAAGACAAAAACAGAGAGGGAAAGTGAGAAATCACCCGTAGGGGGGATGGCCACACTGCAGTCCCTTCTCCTCTATTCTTTTGGGATTCTTTGGGCACACACGCACACATGCCTGGCATGATTTTCAGCCTCCAGGTCCAGGACTGGAACAGCAGTCGTCCATGTGAAAGTCCAACACCTTAATCACCACACCAGAGGCTGAGCCCACCAGCAAATAGTTATTGAACGTCTAATAAGCAGAGTCAGTCAACGACCACAGCCATGATGAGATGCCACTTCACACCCATCAGGATGGCTATGATCAAAAAGTCGGAAAGTGTTGGAGAGACCACGGAGCAACTGCAAGCCTCATACATAGCTGGTGGGGATGTAAAATAATGCAGCTGCTTTGAAAAATGGCTTGCAAGTTTGCCCAGATGTTGAACACAGAGTTACCAGAAGACCTAACAATTCCATTCCTAGGTACATAACACAAGAAACGAAAACATACTACACAAAAACTTGTACTCAGATGTTCACAGAAGCACTTTCTTTTTTTTTTTTTGAGACATTTTTGCTATAGGGCGTGTGCGCTCACCAGACAGAGAGAGACAGAGAGACAGAAAGTGAGAAATCACCCCCCAGGGGGGATGACCACGCCGCAATCCCTTCTCCTCCATTCTCCTCTTGGGATCTTGGGCACACGTGACTAGCGTGAGTGCAAGCCACCGGGTCCAGGTCTCGAACCACGGTCGACTACGTGGGAGTCCAGCGACATAGCCATTACGCTAACTGCTGGTCCCCAGAAGCACTTTCTGTAACAGCCAAAAGGTGGAACAACCCAAATATTCATCAACTGTTGAATGGATACAGAAAACAGCCATCAGAAGGAATGAAGAATTGCTACAGGCTCCAGCATGGATGAACCTTGAAAGTATAATGCTAAATAAGATAAACCAGATCCAAAAGAACAAATAATGCATGGTTCCACGTATGCGAAACATTCCAAAGAAAGCCCATCTACAGAAATAGAAAGTAGGTGAATGGTGGTCTAGGGCTGAGGATTGGTCTAAGGTTAACTCACTACTAACACGTATAGGGTTTCTCTTTGGTGTGATAGAAATGTCCTAAAATTGATTGTGGTCACACAACTCTAAATACTAAAAGCAGCACTGAATTGTACAATTGAAATGGGTGAATTGGGTTGACTCCATGGCTCAGTGGTCCTGTTACCGTTCGAGAGAAGTTGGATCCCACATGGTGACTGTGGTTTGAACCCTTGACCCCATCAACCCCCAAAACACGCCAGGCGCGAGTAAGCTAGTGCCCAAGATCCCATGTGCCAGAGGACAACAGAAGGATTGTGGCATGCCCAGATCCTGTGGGAATGCTTATTTCTCCCTTTCCCTCTACTCGCTCACTCTCAAATGTGCAAGTACACGCTCTATCGTGAATAAGGAAAAAATAAGCGTATATTATATGGTGAGTTATAACCCAATAAAGCTGACGAGTACATATACAGAGCCATGCAAGGTTTTACAGTGGAGAGGTCAAACAAAATGAATAACCCATGCCTTAAGCGTTTATAATCGAATCTCTACATCCACATGAAGTAATCATACACTACAAACCAACATATATGGGCATAAATAGGTAAACGATTCGCATTCAGAGCAAAGAGATCACTTCTACTAAGAGTGAGCAGAGAGGGGCCAGCAGGTGGCACAGCGGTTACGGTGCTGGACTCCCACATGGATGACCATAGTTCGAGTCCCAGGCCTGGTGATTTGCTCTCTCTCACTTTCCCTTTCTTTCTCTCTGCTCAAATAAAATAAAGAAATAAACTTTTAAAAATGGAAACAAATTTTTATAAAAAGTTTTTTCTTTTTCTTTTTTTCTTTTTCTTTTTGTTTTTTAAAGAATGAACAGAGAAAGCTTTATAGCAGAAAGTGATGCAATCGGGCCGTGGAGAATGGCTTGGAATTTAGATGAAGGTAGGATTAAAAGTAGGAGAGGTTGGGGCCAGTAGATGGCACAGTGGTTATGTCGCTGGACTCCCAAGTAGTCGACCGCGGTTTGAGCCCTGGACCTGGTGACTTAAAACTCACTCGGGATGTATGTGCGTGCGTGCCCACGATCCCAAGAGGAAAATGGAGGAGGAGAGATTATGGTGTGGCCCTCCCTTGGGGGGGGGTGGGCAGGCAGTGATCGCTCGCTGTCTGTCTCTCTGGCAAATGCATACACCCTATAGCAAAAATCTCTCATCTCAAAAACAAACAAAACAGGAGAGGTGAAAGCAAAACTATAGAAATTTTAGGGCCCTGTTCTGACCTCAGTGACCTCAGTAAGGATTCCAGGATGGGGGCCAGCAGGCGGTGTGTGTTGTTCACCATGTGCACTCCTACATGATGAACCATGGTTCGAATCCCGGACCTGGTGGCTTTCTCTCTCTCTGTCTCTCACACACACTCTGTCCCTCTCTGGTCAAATCAAAATAAACAAACAAAATTA